AAATCACAAAACAACTTGGTTTTACTTAAAAACATCACATTTTAAATAGTTTTGTTGAAAGAAAACATCATATTTTCTGATATCATAATTTCTGCATCAGTTTTCTGCATGAGAAATCAAATTTTAGAATCTCTACATCAGAAATCAAGTTTCATAATTGTTGAAATATAGATATTTAATTATGTTAAGTTTTGTCCAAGCAAGAGGCAAACATATTTTCTAGAAATTAGAATTCTAAACATTTATATTTGGAGTATAGATGATTTCAGAAATGTTACCATCCAAAGTGGAACGATTTCTGAAGTAAACTCTATGGATGCTAACTCCAATGAGTGATGGATTGATATGGGTGCTACACGCCATGTGTGCTCAAAGAGGGAGTGAATCAAGAATTATAAGGTTGTCCAAGTTGAGGCAAAAATTTATTCTTGAAATTGTGATTCTAAACCCTTAAATTTGGTGTTTAAAACATTCCACAAATGGTATAACATGAAAAGAGTTAACACTTAATGATATGTTGTATGTTCCATAGAAGAACTTAGTGTTTGGATGGTTTTTGAACAAACATGGATTTTGTTTGGTGTTTGTGTCCAATAAGTTTGTACTAACCTAAAAAGGTATGTTTTGTAGGCAAAGTCTATGAGGATGGTGGAATGTTTAAATTCCATATATTGGCTAATGAGCCTAATATCAATGAGTTGGATAACTCTTCCGCTTACTTGCTTAAATTTCTAATGTGTGGCATGCTAGATTTGTACATGTTAATATTGACACGTTAAGAAGGTTAATCAAACTTGAACACATACCTCACTTTCGTATAAGTCAAAATATGGATGCAACACTTGTGTTGAGTCAAAGTTAACACACCAATCATTCAAGTTCATTGAAAGGACAACTAAACCCCTTGGATTAATTCACACAAATGTGTGTGATATGAAGTCGAATCCATGTAACAGTGATATAAGTATTTTATCACTTTTATTGACGATTGCATTAAACTTTGTTATGTTAATTTACTTAAAAGTAACGATGTGCAAGTTTAAATTGTACAAAAGTAAGGTTGAGAATCATCTCAACAAAAAGAGTGAATATGCATCACCATTTGAGGAATTTTTTGCAAGTCATGGTATTAAACATGAGCTCAAGGCACCTTATTCACCATAACAAATGGCATCACCGAAATGAAACATCATATCCCAAATGAAATGATGCACGCCATGTTGTTGCTTATGTTTTGGGTTGCCACAATCAATGTGGGGGGGGGGGGGGGGAAGTTGTGTTGTTAACTAATTACCTTTTAAATAAGGTACCCCAAAAGAAAACGAGAAAAAAAATACCATCTAAGTTATGGTCGGGTATAAAATCATCTTACAAATACATTCGAATGTGGGGGTGTCTCGCAAAGGGTGTTATACCTAACCTAAAGGTTGTAAGGATTGGACACTATATTTTGGTTGCATCTTTATTTGTTATGCACAAAAAATAGCGTTTAATGTTTTCTTGTACACTAATGGCATCAACAAATGCATCATACTTTGAAAATGTGTTTCCATGTCTTGATAAATAAAAGACAAGTGCTACAAAACGATTGGGAACAAAGAATCCTATCATGAAGAAGAAATGGAGGAAAAAATAGATCATGATGGAGTAAAATGGGACAAGTGAGAAATCATTTGGAGATGATTTCTACATGTATATGGTTGAAAGAGAGCCTCAAACTTTCAAAAAGGAATTCACTTCCTTTGACAGATCTCAATGAAAAGATGAAATTTGAAGTGAAAAGGATTCTATCTTGCCAAATCACATATGAGAGCTAGTGGATATACCTCTAGTATGTAAACCACTAGACTATAAATGAATTTTCAAGATGGAAAATGAAATCAAATAGATCCAAAGAATATGAGAATTGGTTAGAACATAGTGTTATATGATTTTAATAGAAATATGCACTTATTTGTTGTTTGAAAACTTAGAATCACATGATACTTCTATACTGCAAGAAGCTATTTCAATTAAATCCAATAATATTGGTTGGAATTCATCAAAACAAGATAAAGGTTTTGGTGAATATTAAGACATTCAATATGAAGTTGAAAGGACTATGAGTGGAAATATGAGTATTCTAAATTTGGAATCATATGATCGTTTCTTAGAAGATCATATTGGATTAAGTTGTAAAAAATAATAATGGTTCTATCGTTTGAAATATTGAGTTCGAGAAATCACTATGATTTAGTGGATTTCCAAATGAGAAGTAAGAGCTGATGACATATTTGAAATATATGTTTGGATTACAAATATAAGAATTTCTTAGTTAATTTCATTTGTATGCTCTTATAATTATATGTGGTTGTAACTTCTCGAAATTTGGAAGTATATCATTCTGATATGAACTAAAACTTCTAAATATGGATTTAGAAGTATAAATCTACATGGAACTGCCAAGCAGTTATCTTACCTGAGGGAAAACAACAAAATGTGTTAGTAAAGTCAATATATAATTAAAGCAAACTTTTGAACAACGGGTATCAAAAGTTTGAATATGTCATTTAACATCAATAAATGTGATGAAATAGATCCATATAAATGGCACATTAAAGTATTATTCTATTTTATGACACATTTAGGATCCTGAAAGATAGGATGCCTTAAGAATTTTACATATACATGGTTAAAGCAAGAAATTGCATTGAAAAATACGATATTTGCAAGGATACTCATGTATGGTATATTTATAATTACATCCGGCCAATGTTATTGTGAATTCACAAATACATGTAGTGCATATGCTTATCGTATTATGTTAACACAATTATGCATATTCAATAGTGGTAACTATGGTGTAGTAATAATCATATTGATAATTCTCAACATTTTTTGGAAAATATAGGAGAACAAATTTGCAAGTTTATCCAAAGTTAGGACAATAAACTAAAGGAATTTGTAAGTTCTTGGGAGACGTCCCATGATGAGCCAATAACTCCTATATATATACATGATGATGTAAATAATGGTGAGTCTACATATTTGTCAAAGACATAACACCATTCAACAACGACTCTCAAGATGAATTATTTTTAATGACTACATAAGGTCAAAATAAGATTACGGATCCGCTAATGAAATGCTTGTAGTGAGAGGTCGTTATGAGGAATGGGACTAAAACCCATACATTAATAAGTTATTGCGAAGGAAAACCCAACCTAGTTGACTGGAGATCACAATATCTAGGTTCAATGGGACAACCTACTTGCATATAACATTTGTGAATCATTGTGGGGGTCAAACCCAACCCATTCCTAAAACAAACAGTGATGCAGGTTAAGCTTATAGTCGTGGATGATAAATTGGAAATCAATATGAATTAACTTCTAATGATTATTATAGAATCACCTATGTGAGAGAGAAGTGGGGTCGCTTCAAAAGGAATTGTATGGGAACATTCTTAAGAGCTCTTACAGAACCAGGCAAGTGTCCATGTCCATAACGGACACATCAATGAGAACCTAACTAGGTCAGGGAGAATCATGTGAGACACATATTGATTATTTACACAAATGCCAGAACAGTTCAAGGACATCGAGTCTACTGGTCAACTAGTAAAATAAATATGTATCTTAAGGGAAGGTTCAAAGGATAACACCTACCTATCCTATGCATGATTCAACTTTTGGATTTTATCTAGGTAGCTTGAAAATGCTTGATCAATCTTCATTCATGTGGGGGATTGTTGGAAAATTGGTGTTAACCAATTTATAAAAAATGGGGTTTCCTTTTTTTTTAATAGGTCCAAAATGGATTTAATATGAATGAGAAATTAATCCTTAAAGTAAGGGTGTTGGAAGAAGTAGATAAAAGAGTTTAATAGGTGAGAGAAAGAAAAGGAAAGTTCAGGAACCTTTCTTGCAAATATTTCTTTCTTTCATAACTGAAATTGTAATTAATACTACAATTTAATTACATATTAACACACATTAATCTTGTGATTAATAGAGGTGTTTAAATGAGAGGTTATAGAATGTGTAGTATAAATACCACTACTCTACAACCATTTGACGACACCAATAAGAATACAAAAATTCTCTTCTTCTCCATTTCATGTTCTTAGTTTTCCTTCTGAGTTAAAGGTAAAATTCAGGCCTATTGAAGGTTCGGGTGGTCTTGAAGAGCCACTTCAAACTGTTGTATCCTGGGAAACAAACACCCGGTAGCTGGCGAATTTGTTTTAAGGACAATATGTTAAACACATGCCTCAGTTTTTCTATTTTTTTTTTATTTCGTACATTACCGTAAAATTATTCCTACAATTCCAAATGTCACAACAATTTCAATTCCAATATCAACCATAAACCCAACCATCCCAAACCCACTTTCCATCCCAACCGCCTTTCACACCTTCAACCGAAATTGTTTATGATTCCGAACACGAAGAACAACAACAACAACCTAAACAACAAAAGAAAGGGGAAGGTCGATCAGAGAAGATAACATAAAAAGAAGAAATTAAGTTAGCAAGGCATGGGTCGACATATCCGAATATGGTGGTACAGGAAAGGGTCAAAATCGTGATCAATTTTGGTTACGTATCACAGAGTTATTTTTTAAGGGAATGGGTCGAGATCCATATTATCGGTCCTCCGACCATTATAACTCGAAATGGAATCTTATGAACAAACTTGTGACACATTGGAATGGAATTTACACAAACCTTGAAAAGCAATGGGCTAGCGGAGAAAGTGAAGCGAGTTAGTTGAAAAAAAACACACGCTACATTCTAAGATGATATGCTAAAGCCTTTTAAGTTTATTCATGCGTGGGAATTTGTCAAAAGAAGCATTAGGAGGATGGAACTTGCAACACAAGAAGAAATTGTACATCCGTAAAAAAGAAGTTGAACATCTTCATATTCGAGCTCACAAGTCTCATCGGATGGTCACGTAAACGTTAATCTTAATGATGATAACGATGACATCGAAGAAATACGCCCACCTCCTCCTCCAATGGGAAAGGACAAAACAAAAGCTCGAGGAAAAGGAAAAGGGAAAGTGACATCTTTAAATTCGTCAGTCGGAACAGATCAGTCAGCTAGATTGGAGGAAATGATAACACAAATGACACAATTGAATTCAACTTTGGAGAGGCATATGAATGAAACTGTCAGACTCGCAGAATATCCGTTGTTAATGCAATATGTGAGACACCTCGACCCTGAAGATCAAGTGGCGGCTAAAGCGGTGAAGCAGTCGATTCACGAAAAATATAAGCTAAACCGCAAATGAAATTTCGATGTTATGTTTTTTTTTCTAGTTTTTTTTCTTAATTTTTCACTTTGTTTTTTTAGGTTTTTAATGTAATTTTTAATTTCATGTTATTTTTTATTTTTACGACTTCTAAAATGTAATTTTTAATTTTATGTTATTTTTAAATTTAGTATGGTTTTTACAAAAGTTCTTATTTTTTATTGGAAAAAAAAAACTCATACGTAAACCATTTACCAAACCCTAGTCCGTAGGGGAAAATTGTAAAAACTATAAAAGTTGACACCTTTTTACCATTGGTAAAAAAGCACCACACCCCTTAGCCTAATAAAACTAGTCGGGTGTTTCAAAAGTTATCACGTCACATGTCATTTCAATATGGTCATGTAATATAAAATTGAGGAAATTGACAATTAGTTATAACATTCTTAACTTTCAATGTCATTATTTGTTTTTTTAGATTTTTTTTAATTTACTTATTTTTTATTTTTTCAATTTGTTTTTTATTCATGTTAGATTATTTTAAAAAAATTGAAACATGCAATTTAATTAAATCCTAGATTAACCATAACATTTAAAAACTTAAAATAATATTACACACCAGAAAAAAAACATAGTCCTAAAAACATAAAACGATACACTAGTCATCAAAATATTTCTTTTCGATCATCTTCCGGAGCACTCACACTTATCATGGTCCCATATTTTCTTTGCTAGTCTAGAGAATTGTTGAATCCTCCGCTATTTGATCTTCCTCCGCTTGCTTACGAAGAAACTCAAAGTGCTCACGTTGCACGTCAACCTTTTGTTGGGCAATTAGATTATGTTGGTCGAATTTTGCTTTCATTTCCGCCAACTCTTATGTCCTTCTATCAGTTTCGTCTGCGTGGCGTTGAGCACACTTCGCTTTGTCGCTTCCGATCGGTCGGCGTAGGGTGGGGGGGAGATCTCTTCAATGTCGTCGGGGATGTCATCCGTGCCGGCGTTGAGATCGATATTAGTTCGTGCGTCGGAAACGTCAAACGAACTAACAATCTATCATATTTTTTCAAACTTGAAAGTGTGCCCCATTTTGACTTTATATTGTTCCCTCGCAGCTTTGTACACATCAAAATCATTCAAACCACTTTTCTTTTGCGATTATTGTCTTATGAATATCCCATTAAACTTGGTGCACCGACAACTTATAGGAGTCCACTTGCTACTAAGCGTATCGATATTGCGATATGGTTGTTTCTTCATAAGCTCGTGAAATTTGTCGAGCATGACTTCCCAAAACCCAACTCTTCGCATATCATTTCCTACGGTTGAACTCTTTGAAGTCCCGCACCATGCCACCACCAATGTGTACTCCTCCTCCGGTGTCCACCATAGTGGAGGTTCTTCTTCGCTTGCCGCGACTACTTTCCTTTTTCCTTTTCCCTTTCCCTCTCCCTTTCCAACTACCTCCCACTTGTGTTTCAGGAATAGTGTATGGTGTTGGTTGTGTGGTTGTTTGTTGAATGGAAACGAAAGTACTGAAAAGGTTTTGTTGAAGATTTGAATTTTGTTGCATGTAAGGGAATGTAGGAAGTTACATTGGGGTGATTTGGGTTTAAAAAAAGTTCCCTTGAAGCGGTATTTGTGGTGAGTTTGTATTGAGTATGTTCATATAACTCTCGTATTGTGCGAAGCCGATCGGGACGGATATGTTTGTGTTAGGAGGCGGGGTGTTCGTGTTTTTCTCCATATTTGGTTTAAAGGAAAAGTTGTTTTTTTTAAGATGAAAGAAATATGAAGATGAGAGAAGATTTGTGATATTTAAAAATTATGTATATGTGTGTATTTATATGTAAAATAAAAGTAGTTAATTTTTTTACCTCTTGATCGTTCACCAACGGTCATGTTTTCATCATTCACTCGATTAACCAGAGTTACATTTAGTTATAGGGGAAACAGTGATGGGTTTTACATGTATTAACGCAGATAAATGCTTAACACTTAAGGGTACATGCAACCTAAAGATCTAAGTCATAACAGTATTAATGTAACATTTTATTGAATAACAAAATCCCTATAACCCTAGGTATTTTCGAAATTAAAGAAAATATTAGGGTTTACATATGTCACAACTAGCATTTTGGCTAGGAAATTCTATCTATATATGATCAACTCTTGTTGTATCTGTAACCCAAATTTTTCCCGGTTCAACTGTCACACCCCCGGACCAGACGGCGGAAACGTCCGAAGGCGGGTGACTTCATTGTGCAGTATCATAACAATTGAATATAATTGAAACAGAGCAATCCAAACATCATACATTGAGATAACAAACTTACATTGTTTACATATTGTATTTGTTCTTCGAGTTACACAAAAGAGACATAAGTAGAAAATTCCAAGCTACATCTAAATAGTCCTGCATCCGCGTCCCTTGTTACCTGCTTAGTAGATCCCTGAGAATACAAGTCGTTTTGAAAAGCGTCAACTAAAAGTTGGTGAGTTCATAGGCATTTTTGTATAAAATCGTTTACACTTGTTTAGAATCGTTCTTATTGTACTTTCAGAAAATCTGATATTTTCTATGAAATCGTTTGAAGCCTTGCTTTGAAAATCATAGATATATGTGTGCATGTCATTACTTTTGTTCATCCTTATAAGGAATGATTTTGAAAAGTAGTGAAATTTATAAATCGAGCTGTGTTCGAGAATAGTTCTTTTGAATAGTAATAGTCAACCGTTTCCAGAAAATCCCTTATTTTCAAAAAGAGAATATGGTTGAAAATCTTGTTCCTCTTATCGAGTAAAATTGAATGTGCGTTCTAGTTTATCGTTATCGAAATCGTAGAAAATCGTTTTCTCCAGAAAATCCTATATTTTCTGCTATAAAATATTCGTAAGTTCTATTTCCAACTGTGTGTATGTGTGGGTTAATTTATCGTTTTCAAAATCATTTACAAACGTTTTCCATAGAGTCCTACGCTTTTTAATTTGTAAAATAGCAGTATTACGACTCTATACTTGTTAGGAGAAAGAATCAACATGACAATTGTGGACTTCCTACGAGATGAAAAAGGACAGTCGACGCAACAAATGCGGACCATCACCTATCATGTGTAGGACAGTCAACACAACGTGCCAAAATTTATTTATGAGGTTTTCCTTACATAAATTTCTAGATGACATAACATATTCTAGTGAGTCGTTATAACCATACTAATCTGACGGAGTGCCTGTTTTGGCGTTTATCAGGCGCCCTCGGTTTGGAAAAGACATTTGTCACCCTAGATTGGTCTGTCTAGCTGTAGCGAACAGCGAAGGTGCGGGGTGTCAACCCCGTATAGATCTATACACAAATTCCCGCTCTCCCTCCAGGAGACTTTGGCTATAACTCCTTACAGGACTTTAGACGTACACTAATATTTTTATATTTAGGTACTTTTGAGATTTGTATGACTAGAATATTAACAACCTTTTGAGCAATCGTTAGAGATCCATTATTTGTTAGATAAATAATGAAATTTGTACTTATTGAATAGAAATATCGTTCTCGTTCCATATCGTTGATTGTGCTCGTTAACTGGGTGCTCGTGTTCGTTCCTTTTCGTTTATTGAAAAATAAGTCATTTTAGTCAAGAGAAAAAGTGTCAAGTTATAATCTGTATAAATTTATAACTGCCGGTTATGACACGCATTTTCTGTTTTATGACATGTAGAACATTACTTATGTTCCTGAAGGTTTTACGACAGCAGTTTATGACATGCAAATTATTTTGTCATGAAAACTCTATTTTCGTATATTTTTCTTGATAAACTATTTATATTAAATATTTCTAAATAATCGCAAATAGTTTGTGAATCTGGTAAGCAAAAGACATGAGTAAGACATAATATTCCAAGATAGCCCTTGTATTTATGTTTGGCCAAAAATGATCCAAAATATTATTATTTCCATACTTTAATCATTTTCAAAATATTTTGTCCAACAACTTGTTTAAGCAAATATTGAAGCAAATCCTTATAGTTGTTCTTATAAAATTTTTGTGATTTATACTTGGTAACATACTAGTTCTTGATTCCAAATGTGATTTGTGAGATATAATCCAAACTCTTGAGACTTAACCAAAATCTCGAGTTTTTGGACTATTTATGAGAGTTTTCATACTTAAACATATGTAATATGGCATGCATACACAATAAGCAATTAAATCATGATTTACACAAGAATTTGACTTGTATTCTCCCCCAAAAACAATAAAAACTTGGAAAAAGGGTGGGGTATGAAGCTCACCTTGAGTTGGTTGAGGAGTTGTTTGGAGTGAAGATGTCAAGCTTAAACTTTTGGCTGAGATGAGGAACTCCTCTGGGAAGAATGTTGTCCTAAGGTTGATTATCACATATTATTATGAGTAAAATAATATGGATTCATCTTGAAGATTATATAAAATCTTAGATGAGTGGAGAACTTACTTTAGAAAAAAACTCCAGGGAAGATTTGAGAGTTTTGCTTCCAGCAAGATCCTTAACTTTGCTCTTGGGAGGAGTATTTGAGAGAAAATGAGAGTGTTCTTAGGAGTTTGCTGAATATGGATATGAGAAGTGAGAGAGTAGTTCACGTTTTCAATAAGGGAAGATAAGGAGTGATTTGACATTTGCTTGGAGTACTGGTGGGTAATGTCTATCACTAAGGGTTAATGCATAGATTACTGGGATTTACATGGGAAATGAGGAATTTACATCAAGTCAACTCCTTAGCCTCTTAGAATCCCTTCATAAAACCTTGGGTATTATTTTATATAATTACATTTAAAATAATCAATTTTGGCATAAAATGAGGGTCTAAGGGGTTTAAGATATGAAAATCACGAGTTTGGTGTGATTTCCGATGCCAAAATGCCTTAAAATGATGAAAAACTCCGAAAATGCCAAAAATCCGGAGTGTAGCATGGCTCCTGCGAGGGTCCGAAGGGCTGAAGGAAGTTCCAGAGCCAATCTTCAAGGTTCCGGAGGTACTGGGCGAGTTCCGAAGTCAAGCGAAGTCC